CATGCATTTTATGGAAAAGTGTGTGTAATAATTACATGTTGATTTTTGTCTTTGTTTTTTGTCTTTGTTTTAGTTCCCAAGACAGGAGACTTAGAATGTGGATTAGACATTGCAACAGGATCACTTTTGCCATCGCACTCTGATGTACGTCAGTGTTACTTCACAGGAAAACGAATAAAGGTATAGTCTAGTGTTTTATACATGAACCTCTAGCTCGGGCGACTGGGAAACTATGCAACAAACTTAATTGTATTGTATTATCGGTTGCATTTGTTATCATTGAAATTTTATCAAGTTTGTAAAGGCTATTTCAACCGACTTCTCAATAACTTGAAATAGCCGTTAAAATAATTTAACACGAAATTGAGACGAGGCGCGCAAAGCATTTAGGGTGATACTGGGTCTTTAAACCTTTTTTGGTGTTGTTCAACAGGGCTGCGCCTACTTGCTTGAAGATGGTAAATCGGCAATTGCTTTAAACCATGCCTTGATGTGGGCTAAAGTCACGGCGTTCTCTCCTTTAGGGACTGGTACTCGCTTTAACCCATTTTAATTTCAAAATGTATTTTCAYTAATATCATGTATTATATTTGTATAAAATTGCATGCAATGCACTGTGTAGACATGTAAAAATATAGGGTGTGTTTCAATTCCTAGACAATTTATTAATAACATCAAATCATATTTTTGTTAAATTTTCTATTTTCGATAACATTTTTATAATCATTATCATATATTATTTAATAGTGTAGAAATGTACATTATGTTATCAAACTATATTAAAACTATAAGAAGTGATAAGCACATCAATTAATCATTAATTGATATAAAAAATAGTTAATAAATATTTCAATATTGTCCACAGCTAATTGTCTATCTTATTACTGAAACTATAGTTTTATAGAAAAACAGCGCTTTACAGCGCTCTCTTACTAATTTTGTAATGATGTATTGCAGAGACTAATATCCTACAAAACTCATTTCATTTCTATATAGGTTATGGTAAAAAAAACATTATTAGAAAATTGATTACTACTGAACGTATCCTTGACACACCCTATTCCTAAATTTATCAAACCTGTTCATCTGGTAACTCGACTTTTCTTTGCTAGCCCAAGAATCCACATGGTTTTGCCATTAGTTTTATGTCTTTACCAGATGAGGGATGAAATAATCATATGTTATCAAATCAGACTGCAACGTCCATTATTGCAAACAGGTCGCACATCAAACACCGAAAATAAATCAAAGTWGTGTGTSAGAAGCTCATTTTTCAAACTAAAGACCTTCGTGGAAAGATAATCTCAGCTAAATACTTTGAGAAGAAATATACTTAGGTGAATTGGGAACATGTGTTGTACTAATGCGCGCAGCAGTATCCAGTCCGCTTTGGTGGTTGTCTGGTTACTTCAATAGGGGTGATCGTTGCCAACAATTGAACAGCCTCGGCATTAATTCTAATCATTTATCTTGAGGGGGATGAAATTGAGCTTTGTAATAATCATTGCATTAAGCAAAATTATTAAGACCTAGCTTAGTGATTTTCAGTTTTACGTAAGGCTAAAAGCTCAATAGTACTGGACTTCAAACTCAATAATTTATTTTGTCCTTATTGACTCGCATCAACTAGATAGGCACCTTCTTTTCGCTGCCGAGAATTATCTTTTTAATACAATACTACACAAATTATTATTATTCGATTTATATGATTTACCATTTCATTTACTAGTTTGTTTCGCTTTAGCTGTAATATTGTTATTCCCTTTTAGGAATTATATTTTATTATTTATAGCTCGCCATATTGCAGCCATATGTATGGAATATGGTCCCATAGAATTCCCTTTATATTTTCCGACACGTTCTGTTGTGTTTATGTAATATAAAGTGTCGTTTTGGCTCGTTCTGTGTTGTTTGACGCTGAAATGATATTGTTTATAGTCAACATACGGATTTTAATTTCCTCTTCGTTCTTAACTTGATATGTTTTGTAAAACAATGTTTYCTGGGCTTTTTAACACCTCATGTCAATTTGTCAAAAAGTAAATGAGCCCAACTATAATATAAAGGTGATTAAGAGACCGTTTGTTATGGAATTATAGCTTTTTTTTTACTGTTCTTGCATTTYGTTGTAAGTGAAGTGGACTCGAGTCATGTCTACTGATTCTCATTCATGAAATCCAAAGCTCTAAAAAAGAAGAACTTTGAATTGGTGGCAATTTTCTTCAGACTTTTAATTTGTAACATTTCAAGAGTCTGGCCACGTCAGGGCTGGTCCAAGTCCAATGTTAATATGCGCGCAAACTGATAACAATTCAACATAAAATTTAAGATTTGATCTGCATCTTGGAATTGTTTTTGTAGTTTTGTTTTACTATAGTGTTATCATTGTTTAGTCTACAAACTTATCGCTCGTGTTGGTAGAAGGCTAAAACAAGATCAAACCAGGTCAAGAATTCCGGAGAAATGAAACATGCCAGATCGGAACTTGGGTTATTAGACCTGAATTGAAAGCCGCCCATTTTTGTCTCGCCATCAGATGGAGAGAGATTCATTTGCACATTTTTTAAGCAATTTACAAATTAGTTYATAGTTCAGTACAATTCTGTGGGCGYATTTGTGTTTTTTTGCACTAGATAATATGTTTTAATTCATGGGCGGAAACTGAGAAAAATAATGTTATCCATATAACTGTAAACCATCTAAAAAAGTAAAGCTAGTTTAACGTTGATATTTCATATACGGCAGTCACTGCAGTTAATTAAGACAATTGCTAATACCGCCTTGTTTCAAAAAGTGCCATGATCGGATCCATCATTTCACATGTTGCTTCAACCCAAAAGTAAAGTCTGCGTGCTTGCTAATCAAAATAGGTAAAGAATAGATAACGTGCGGAATTGCTTGAGTTTTTGTGTAACATTTGTTTTGTTGCGTTGCGTATGTAGTAACTGTGGACTACGTAAGATGGCGTGTCATTGAAATGCAATTTCGTGAGAAAACGCGATCATCACACAAGGGAAAAAACATCTCTCTTGAGGGGTGATTGCAAAAGATCAATTCAGGTTGATTAATGGTTTGATCATGCCTGAAATCAAAGCATGAATGTGACTTTGATATTGACGCGCGCGTACACACATCGTTTGTGATATGGACTGCATGTTGAATTGATGGGCGGAGTTGAACGTATAGACTGCCTGTAAAAGCCACGTGTTCGCTCTTTTAATTTTGACTCAGAAATTGCCAGCAGCTTATGTGATTTGTGTGRAAAGAACCTAATGCTTTTCAAATGGAATTTAAATCAACTTCAAACGAGTTTTATATGAGAGAAGTGCGTCCAATATTTTATCAAGTTCAGCATCGGTTAGCTGTGGACAGTCTGGCGACGCTTAGATAAATGACATGTAATAACTGACCACTTTTAACTAAAACATCGTTTTGCGGTAATTACTGTGTATTTAGTGAAGAATCYGGTGTAATTTATAGTGTTTTTCTTAAAGATTTCAATCACGGAAAAACAACGAACATTCGGCTCACAGTCAAGCAATGTCATGAAATGGAACTTTGCGCATTCAGTGATTTGCGCCAATCGGTAATTAATCTTTGAACTTTTAAATAACTATCAGTRCTTGATAGTTAAAACAGACCTGTGAATCCTACGTCTTTAGAAATATTCGGCATCTATGGCTTTATTTAGAGTTTTGTAGCTTCTCGTTCCGTATCCAGCGCGCGCGGGATTTGAATAAATAAACTTCAAGTATCATTTATCTAAAAATATCAAGTTGAATCAGTGAATTTAAGAAGAAAATCCTGTGATTTTGCAGGCAGTACTTAACAAACCAACATTAAGTTACATTTAAAAAAGTCATTGGTTTTTATGTGGATATTATTAAAACACTTCAAAAAATTATATAATTTTCCCGGTAAAATCTGTTAACAAGTCTCTAGTRAGTTTATAGTCCTGTATCAATTGTACAGAATTGCAGAAAGCAGATGCAACCATTCGATTCATGGGTCATTTATTGATTAGTATTTTAATAAGAGAACTAACTGATKGAGATAGCAGATGTAGAAACTACTTTGTTTGGACCCCTTTTTAGGAAAAACATATACTGCAAACACAGCCTAGACTCCAGCACATCGAGCACCAACAGGGGAAACCACACTTGATATCATTTAATGGTGAATTACAATTAAAAACCTTCATAATATTTTGTCTTAAATGGTGAGACTATGAATAAAATGCGGATTTGCCAGGGGCGGATGGAAAATTTACCAGGGGGTGTATCAACTGAAGACTATTGTAATAAGTAAAACTTCAAAATATCACTCATTTCTGTCACAAAATACAGTCTAAAAGACTATAACGCGGCACGTAGCTACTGTACTGAAAGTACATATTTTCATCAGATCATAAGAAGTCAGTATATTGGGGCATATTGGTTCAAAATGGCGTAATATGTATGTATTGAGGGTGTGTCAGGTATGCCAATAAACACCCCCTGGATCCACATCTGTGTACAATCCTTTAGTTGAAACTTTTACTTTCCTGYGGTGTTATTGCTCTGCTTGAATTAACTAAGCTATTGAATATCCGTTTACAGATCATGTTTACCAATGCCTATCTTGTATTATCAGATATTATTCAAAGCTTAGAACATATAAGCTGCAATACTCTTCAGAAATCTTTTTTAAGCTGCTTTAGTTACTTTACGAATTATGCAACGTTTCAGAAATGCAGCAGTCAGTACAAACGGCAAATTTTGTATGTGCCCTATCCAATGCCGACTTTTGGGCGTCTTATCTTTCTTGCATAGAGACTGGCGCGCAAACAGTACTGGTCTGTTTGTTCAAAGAGTGTATTTGTGGTAGAAAAGGTCACTGAAATTGGACAACTGGAAGGCCAACAATTTGAAAGAGTGCAAGTTATTTTAGGACTGAGAAAGAGGGAAATATTTTCATAAGTTCACCTACTATCAAACCACAACTATCTCGAAAGTATCCCCTTTGAACAGTGAAGCTATAAACAGATTGTGCAAGTTGTTAAGTGAATTTCTGTCCCAGAATAAATCAACTTAGACCATTATCATTTCAATAACAAGATAAACACTGTAAATTCCGAAAATAGTTGCTGTGGTTTTTGTAAGCAGATTGACCAATGTTCAATGCAAACACTCCTTTTGCATAAATAAACTTAAAGTGACATGAAAATTGTATTCACATTTAACATAAAAGCTTTTGTTTAGAGGTGTTTGCAGTGAAGAGCGTTAATTTTTATTGGAGGCGGAGGGAGAAACATCGTCATTATCACAAGGGGTGTAAAACTGTAGCAATGTGTGAGAGCAGGCGGGAAGCTCTTTGCTATACGCAAGGGAGCTGTTGAGTTTAATATTGCAATAGCTTTTCAAATGACCCTCGTTTAAAATACCATGTTGAATCGCAGTAGGACAATATCATAGTACGTAAAACAAATAACTTGTGATCACACTTAAACTTTTCCTCATAACACCATTTCAATGAAGTCTGTCAACTGACAAGAGCAATAACAACACGAAGATAATTTTTTGCTGAAAAATTCGGTTAGTCACTAGACATTCCTCGAGAGAACTGCGTTACAGGAGTCGAGTATTTCATTAATTACCTAAAAGTACTCATCGAACAATGCAATTCTTGACCCGTGAAGTCTGTCATATCAGCGTTACCATGACAACCCATTCASTTTTGATTGTATAACCTCTCTAAGCCAGTATTTAAATCCTATTTTTCCAATCCCAAAGTCAAGTACTAAGGAAATAAATAACGCCGGAAAACAGAGATGCGGTTCTTTCAAAGAAACAGACAAAGGAAATAAAGCGCTGTGGATTTGTTGTGAAGGTGAAGTTTAGGTTTACAAATGTAACAAGAATGTCATCTTCAATCGATCTCAATCTGATCTGTTCAAAGGTCTAAAAGCATTTTTTACATGTACGTTATACGTTAAAGTGACGAAGAATAAAGCTATTTTCATTGCATTAACGGTTTGATCTCCTGGGAATTCTACGGAAGCCATCGCAGCATCGTATTTCAATTCTTGAATTGACCTCTTGAGAATTTGAATGGTAAAAAGCTCAACAGCTTATAAGTATTTTTAGAAATCATATTCCTTGTCCATCATAATGTTTTTCTTTGAAATAATTACCAATAAATTGCCTGCAGATGGATTTTTTTGATAAGTTTTTGAAGACTTTTCGCTGTTGAAAAGCGATTCTAGTTTCGGAAACCATTCATGTGTTAAAGACATTTGAGGTCACGTGATACGTTCACGACGCTACACGGCCGCGATTTGAATATTCTTATCAAACCACAAAGGATAAAGAGAGAGGGTTTTAAAGTGGATTGAATTGAACTTTTCCATGCAATCCGTTCTCATTTTCACACCAATGGACCTCCTGGTGCATAGCTAAGTGTAAATAGCCCTTCTTGAGCGATTTTCAACCAGGTTGCGTGCTCAAATACTCGATTCTCGGCGTGTGTGAAGTCGTCGAATTGTTAAAGATGGCGTAGTAATGTGAGTCAATGCAGCAAATTAGCAAGAAATACGTCTTAAATTTCCTTTCCATAACTCGGCGATGGGTTAACAAGAAGCAATGAGTAGTTGTACGTATTTTAATGGTTTATTATGATCCGTAAAGGAGTCTTTGTGGCACCACTGGCATGCTGTAAGCGAAATCTTCAGTTATGGCAGTTACTGCTATTGTTCTGTACCGTTAGTTGGAATACCGTCTCCTGCAACACTGCAAATGTTTATAAGTTTACAATAGCTGAAGAAAAACCCAAAGGGACAGTGGTTGGAAGTATTCAAAATTCAGGATCTAACCATTACTATGACATATTATTAACTGAGCCCAAGAAAGGAGATGGCTTCTTTACAATAGACCGAACTAGTGGGACAATTTCTACAGCAACGGTACTAGACAGAGAGAGCATCCAAGTGGATTATTACAACCTTACAATTTTCGATTTCATTACTTCAAAAACGGACTATGTTCTAGTGTATATACAAGACATAAATGACAATTCTCCTCTCTTCGTTGGAGGGAACTTTGCTAGTGTCACTTTGTCTGAGGGTCATGCGTTTCGGTATAAAATCGTTGCTGCTGATCGTGATAATGGCTTGAACTCAACACAAAATTACAGTATTATATCAGGAAATATCGACGATGTGTTTAAGCTGGACACCAAGCGGGATCTTAATAATCATTTGTATGCTGATTTAGTGCTAAATTCTGGAAAAGAACTTGATCGTGAAGACAGAGATTTTTATGTTTTGAATATTTCTGCAWGTGATGGTGGCWCCCYACCGAGAAAGGATTTCTTACAATTGAATGTAACCGTAAGTGATCTTAATGACAATCCTCCAGTTTTTAACTCCTCGAATTATACAGTCTACATCCGTGAAGACAAGAAGCCTTCAACATCGATTATYAAAGTGTTAGCCACTGATAAAGACATTGGCACAAATGCTAAAATTTACTATTCAATCTTAAACTCAGATCCCAAGAATGAATTTAGTATCGACAAGGATACAGGAGTCATTTCAGCAATTGTTCCACTAGACTATGAAGTGAAAAAGTCTTATAAACTGTCTATTAAAGCAGAAAATAGTGACAGTGATAAGCTGTTCTCTATTTCTGTTGTCAACATCATCATTTTAGATGTCAATGAYAATGATCCARTTGTTAGTGTAAAGTTTTCCATTGGTGGACCRTATCAAGTGCTTGAGAATGCCAAGGTTGGCGAGGAAGTAGCTCGTGTCTCTGTCTCGGATAAAGATTCAGGACCAAATGGAGATGTGAATGTTACTTTGGAAGGAGGTGATGGGTATTTTAGCATGAAATATGATGTAAAGAACGCTGAGTCTGTAATCTATGTTGGAAGACCATTGGATAGAGAGAAAAATAAAGATTTCATTYTAAAGGCATCGTGCATTGACAATGGTAATCCTCCAAGAGAGACTACAAAAAGTTTTAAAATAAATGTTGGTGATGTAAATGACAACCATCCTAAGTGTGAACGCCATGTTTACACAAGTAGAGTTATTGAAAATGCAACTGTTAACACYATCGTTGCCTCTGTGAGTGCAACAGATGCAGATTATGGTATAAATGCTGAACTTGAATATTCATTGTCAAATGGAACAAAAAACAAGCCTTATGGAAAATGGTTTAAAATTGACCATGGAACAGGAGTAATAAAAACAGCTATGAAGATTGATCGTGAACTATTTCCCCAACCTGTTTTAATTGTAATAGTATCGGATAAAGGAACACCATCACTTAGAACTAACTGCACTGTCATAGTAAACATTACTGACACAAATGATAATGACCCATACTTTAACCAGAGTATTTACAAGGCCAGTGTACCTGAAAACTCAGCTTCTAACGTTTAYGTCCTGCATGTTTATGCTACAGATCCTGATCTYGGTGATTACAGTTTGATTAAGTACAGCATTCCAACCCGCAACTCAGTTCCTTTTAAAATTGAACCAGACAGTGGAGCCATTTTAACAGTGAACTCAATTGATCGTGAAACAAATCCTTCATACTCTTTCCAAGTTGTAGCAACCGATGGTGGTGGACGTAAAGCATTTGCTACTGTTAAGATTACTATCACTGATAAGAATGATAACAAACCAGTYTTTAAACCTGATGAGTATTTCAAGGATGTTAAGGAAGATGTACCTGTTACAACAGAGATTGTTACTGTAACTGCTCTTGACATGGACAGTGAATTGTACTCTAATGTAACATACTCTATAATCGCTGGTAATGACGATGGATTGTTTGATATCAACATCTTMACAGGARTGATTACAGTTGCTCAAAAACTTGACMGRGAAACTAAGGATTCTCATATTCTTCTTATTAAAGCAGTTGATGCTGGTGGAATTCCTTCCACTAACAATGCCACWGTTAATGTAACTGTTCTTGATGTAAATGATGAGCCACCCATATTTGAACACCTATCGTATAACTACACTGTAGTGGAGAACTCTCAACCTGAAGTTATCGGCACRGTGACAGCAACAAGCAAAGACCTTGGCACTAATGCTCTAGTGACTTACTCAATAATCAAAGGGAATGTTGATAACCATTTCACCATCAACACTACTGGCACAATATACCTACGCAAGCCTCTTGACCATGAGAAGACATCACAAGTCCASTTAACAGTCCAAGCTCAAGATGGAGGTAAGCCGGCACTGTTTGGGTTTGCACATGTGAACATTAATGTAACTGATTTAAATGACAATGCACCTCAGTTTAATGGTAGTTTTATTAAAGTCTTTCTTCCTGAGAACACTTTACCTGGACACTCTTTCTATAAAGTTAAAGCTGTAGATCCTGACAGTGGTAGTTTTGGTCAGATATCCTATACCTTAGTGACAAATCCTGGTCAGCTCTTCCAACTCAAACCACAAACTGGTGCAYTATCTTTACAAAARCCTATCAACTTTGAAACTGATGGAAGGTCATACAAAATAGTACTTCAGGCACAAGATGGTGGTCAGAAAAYCTCTCWAGTCACTTTAAATGTCAGTGTTGTTGATGTTAATGATCATGCTCCTGTGTTTGTCAACTCTTCTTATGTTGTCCATGTCTCGGAAGTGCAAACGAAGGGTACTAACATTGTCAAAGTTTCTGCTACTGATAAAGATTCAGGTTTGAATGGTCAAGTTACATACAGATTTAAGAACAGCCCTGATACAGCAAAGTTTGGCCTGAAACCTGATGGCTGGATTTATTTGAACGATAAGCTTGATAGAGAGACGCAAGACCGATATAAGCTAACAGTGGTCGCATCTGACAAAGGCCTACCAACACCTCTTACTTCCTCTGTCGATGTAACAATCATTGTTGATGACCATAATGATAACAACCCTASTTTCCGTCATAAGTCATACATCTTCTACATCCAAGAAGGCAAACCCAAGGGAACAGTCGTTGATTCTGTGACAGCTTCAGATAAAGACATAGGAATTAACGCTAAAATTACTTATAAGTTTGAGACTGCATTAAGTGGATTTACTATTGATAAAGACACTGGGGAAATCAAGACCACTAAAGTCCTTGATCGAGAGGAAAAGTCATCTTATACTGTCATCGTAGTTGCTACAGATGGTGGTGTTAGCGCGCGATTGGATAAAACTCGAGTTACCATAGTGGTTAGTGACGTCAATGATAATAGTCCATCGTTCACTCCCTCCCAGTATAGCGAGAAAGTCTATGAGGATGTTGCAGTTGGAACTACCCTAGTTAAAGTCACAGCAATCGACAAGGATGAAGCAGGACCTAACAGTGAMGTGCGRTATTCCATCGTTGCTGGTCAGCAAAAGTCACGTGTGTTTTCAATCAACGATAAAACTGGTGCAATAACAGTAACTTCATCTCTAGATCGTGAAAAGAAACATCGATATATACTTTATGTCAATGCCAAGGACTTAGGCAAGCCGCCTAAATACACCATAGCAATGGTCACTATTAATGTTCTAGATGTTAACGATAATGTTCCAAGGTTCTTAAACATGACTGACTTTGTTAATGTACCCGAGAAACTTCCTGTGGGAAGTAACGTAACACAAGTGAAGGCAGTCGACAACGATTATGGCGATAACGGTAAGATTGTCTACGAAATAGCCCTCGGCAACGTTGGAAACACCTTYAAAATCAACARGACTTCAGGACTTATCACTACACGMATTTTACTGGACTTTGAGMGACAGAATCGTTACCAGTTAAAAATCACCGCGAAGGACATGGGTACAAGACAGCATACAACCTATCGTTGGGTGAATATATATGTTTTAGATGCCAACGATAATCGYCCAACGTTTGACAAGAATCCAATCATTGCATCAGTCCTAGAGGGGGTRCCAATCAATCACACTGTCAAGACTATCCAAGCACGTGATGATGATTCAGGAAGTAACAGTTGGATTTTATAYAGTATTGTATCACAAAACCCTGAACAGCACTTCAGTATCGACCCCATGTCAGGCGCAGTGCGTACGATATCTCCAATTGACAGAGAATCCATCTCGGAATATACTTTGATTGTAAAAGCCACTGATCAGCCGTACACACAGAARGATCGTCTTTCAAGCACCGCAACGTTGAAGATCATAGTSCTCGATGTKAATGACAACAAACCTGTTTTTGTCTCYAAGAACATGACTTTTATCATGGAGGATGAGCCGTTTAACTTCGAGGTTATAACCATCACCGCAATCGACCCTGATGAAGGTAGATCTAGTAAAGTAGATTATCGTATTGTTAGTGGCGATGCCGGGAAATTTACCCTTGATCCAAGAACCGGAGCATTGAAGAAGATTGGTAAGCTAGATTACGAAACACGCCACTCATATAAACTCAATATCAGTGCAACAGACGAAGGAAGCCCAGCTCTCGTGTCATAYCAACTATTAACAATTAATGTAGTMGATGTTAATGACAACCCCCCGGAATTTACACACAAACTCTATAACGGAACTGTTAGTGAGGRGGAGGCAGTGGGAACGCCGGTAGTTAAAGTTACAGCATTTGATCGCGATTCTGGGACAAATGCTGAGTTCACTTACAGTATTCCTAGCAGTACACAAAGAAAGAAGTTTTTCATCAATTCCACCACCGGTTTGATTACGACCAAGGTAACGCTTGACAGAGAAGAGCAAGGTTCGTATTCGTTTGTCGTTTACGCTACTGGCAGTATGTATCCCTTCAGAGTAAGCACAACTAACGTCCAAGTCAAAGTTTTAGACAAGAATGACAATCCACCAAAGTTTTCTTCAGCGTTAGTCGAAACTAAAGTAACAGAAAACTCGGCCGCGCATGGCTTTTATACTATTGCCGCAAAAGACTTGGATGACGGRCTCARTGCTAAGGTTAAGTACGAGCTCGTTTCTGGTAACATTGGAGGTGCGTTCAAGATTGATGAAGATACAGGAGAGCTGTCTACTTTGAAACAACTCGACCGTGAGGACGTGGACAAATACACGCTTACAATAGAAGCCAAGAATATCGTGAAGCCATTTTACTCAGCAAGTTGTCAAGTAATTGTTGCGATACAAGATACAAATGATAATAGACCTCGCTTCTTAAAGTCGAAATACACAACTGTTATTGCTGAGACAACACCAAGAGGAMGTGCAATACTCAAAGTGGATGCTAATGATAAAGACACCGGTTCTAATGGAAGGGTTGTTTATACTCTTGGTAACGATACTTACAGATACTTTACTATTGATCCACAGACAGGAGTCATATCAACAGAATCAGTATTTGACACGAGTATAAAATCACAATATATTTTCCATTGTTATGCACATGATCAAGGTATCGACCCAAAGATGGACGTCGTACTTATCACGGTTACAATTCAAGATATGAATACGCATAGCCCTGTGTTTACCAAGACTCCTTATCAAACTACTGTCTTCCGCAATGCTTCAAGTGGGACTAATGTTCTAACAGTACTGGCTACTGATTCTGATACCAATAAAACCACAAACGGTAAAGTAACATATCGAATCAAAGGTCAGTCGTCGTTGTTTCTTTTAGAGAGTAATACTGGAATATTAAAGACTAGCAATGGTTTTAATAACCCACCGGCTGGGAGGCATATCTTGTATATAATAGCACAAGACCATGGACACCCAGCCAAGTCTAGTAATGGTATTATTGAAGTATTAATTGGAACAGTAAAAGACGATCCGCCTGTATTTGTTAACAAGTCTACGTCGATTGTGAGTATCCCAGAAGACACTGCAACAAATGGTTATATAACAACTGTTATTGCACGCAACAACAATAACAATCCCGTTAAATATAACATTATYAGTGGTAACCTTGACAACGCCTTTGCTATTAATGCTGGTACTGGTGTTTTAACGGTGCAAGCTTCAGATAAACTTGATTATGAGACCACAAAGGTGTATAAACTACAGCTACTAGCCACTTTAACCAGCGGCTCCTCTCTTAATGGTTAYATGACTTTGTTTGTACGTCTAACCGATACCAACGACAATCGTCCAGTGTTTCACCCTAGCAACKTCGTTGCTCAGCTACCAGAGGACACCGGAGACTTTGCACCACGAGATGTCGTCATGGTTACAGCAAATGATGCAGACTCCACCACAAATTCACAGCTAACGTACTCTATTGTATCAGGTGATGATAGTGGAACATTTGCAATAAACAGTCAGACAGGACAAATTAAAACAGTCAAGCCACTGAACCGTGAAACGTTATCTATATATCATCTTGTTGTCAAGGCAACCGACCATGGCATACCCTCCTTGTCAAGTAATTGTAATGTGTCAGTTAAAGTGTCTGATGTTAACGATAATCCACCAGTATTCAACGTTACCAAGGTAATCAAGATTCCCGAGGACACAAGACCTGGATCAGTCATTACTATAGCAACAGCAACAGATGCTGACCAAGACAACCAGTTAGTTTACTCTCTTAAATCAGCGAGTATCCCTCATGTGTTTGCTGTCGGTCGGTTCACTGGTGCTGTTTCTCTGCTTAAGAGTCTGGATTACGAGACTGCCAAGACTTACTCTGTCACAGTTACGGTCAACGATGGAAAATACTCTAGTGACGTCACTCTAATAATTCACGTGACTGATGTCAATGATAATCCACCAGTCTTCATGAACAGTTCATACGAGCTAAAAATAACGCAGACGGTACGTGCTGGGGTCCCTCTACTACGAGTCCGCGCTACAGATAAGGACAGCGGCAGCAATGGTAAATTAACGTACTCATTTCTTCATCCAATCCCAGAATTCCAGGTCAACGTCACTTCCGGTGTCATATACACTCGGAAGAAAATTAACACGGGTGTTCGTGATACMCTGAACCAGATACTAGTGGTAGCAACAGACCAAGGCAGACCTCCACTTCGTACTTTTGTATACCTCAGGGTATTAATTACTGGTGAACCACAGTTTGACCGTGCACAGTACACAAGTAGCGTCCCTGAAGAYATAACAGTAGGRAAATCAGTCCTTACAGTCAAGACAACTGAAAACCCACCATCCACGCCTTCAGCAAGGATTAGCTTTGTTATAGAGAGTGGRGATCCACGTAATCAGTTTCGTATTGGTCAACGAAGTGGGATCATCCGAGTCAAAGCTCCATTGGACTACGAGATTGATAAACAATACCAACTCGTTATCAGAGCATTTGATGATGTCGCACCGTCAAATTTAGTACGAGTAACTGCATTGATTAATGTTACTGATGTGAATGACATGAAACCAGTATTCAAGCAGCGCCCATACATAGCACGATTTAAAGAGAATATTCCTAAAGGAACCATTGTCATGAATGTGACGGCATCTGATGGTGACAYKGGTTCTAACGCAAAGGTCTGGTACRCCATCCAGTCTGGTGACGATGAGAACTCGTTTACTATTGATCGTAATACTGGTCGCATCAGAACCATTAAAGAACTGGATTACGATTCCATCAAAACTCACCATCTGTCTGTGMGGGCTACCGATCAAGGTTTGTCTATCTATCTCTTTCTTCACACTTTGCACTTTTTTTCACTTCAGTAAAAGTTTATTTATTTCTGATTATCATAATAGATGCTAGCATCAGTCTATGTGTTGATMAATATTTGTTTGGTTTATTAGTTTATTTATTTGTCTGGTCGTTTCTTTGTTTATTGCATAATGTACACTTTTGTTTGTTTGTTAGGTTAGAGTAGTTTTCATAAATCCGTGAAACACGCTTTTGCGCACTAAACTTCTCTGTAGTTTGCACCTTTTCTTTACACTCTTTTTGGTACAGCACATTACACTTTGTTTCACGGATTTATGATTACCACGCTGTGCTCACCAAGTGTTTCCTATAGTTCTTTGTTTATTTTTTGCTTGTTTGTTTGTTTACTTGTTTATTCATGTTAGCAATAATAAAATATTTGATGTATAGTTTTTTAAAGGAGGTAATCGGAGAGAGTAATGATCGAATGGATTGTACGCGAACGAATGGAATTGTTGTAACATATCTCGGTGATCATAGAGGATATTACATGGGCGCGCGGAGATACGGATTTTATCCCCAAGCGAACTTGTATTATTCTATTTACCATATAATTTTCTATGAAAACAAATTACGTCGTAAAATACCTTTTTTCTTACTTGCATTATATAGAGAAACCTCGAATGTGTTATTTTCACTAGTAAAAATAGCATGTTATTTTCACTAGTGAAAATATCAATTTTACGAAATGGAGAAATATAGGTATTTCATAGATAATTATATGATAAATATTGATATTCAATACCCAACATTCAACAATTTCCATTCGCCATTCTCTCTAGCAACCTCTTTTGAAATTGCTGTACATCGTTTGCAATGTTTGGACGGTGACCGCATTAAAACCAGAGTTTAGAGACAAAGCCTGAATAATTATGTATAATGTATAAATTGTCCAAATTGGCCGCTTGTGTCCTCATAAGAACAGAATTAAGTCAAGAACAAAAGCGAATATCTGGGGCCGGTTGTACGAAGATTAAATAGCACTATCCACCTGATGAATCATTATGCAGTGGATAAAATCCCATACAATATAACTTTACCAACGAATACTCAGGGACGCATGGGTGGCCGAGCGGTGAGAGCGCTGGCCTGTCACCTCTGTGGACCCTGTTCGAATCTCGGTCGGGGCGMCATATGTGATTTGAGTTTCTTTCGTTCTCTCCCTTGCGTCGAGGGTTTTTCCGGGTCTTTCCGGGGTTTCCTCCCTCAGTAAAAACGAACCATTTCTATCTGCTGTGCTCCGCGTTCAGTCGTTCGTTGCTATGTAAAGGAAGCGCCCAGCCGGCAGCACGCCTATGTGTAAGTGTCTGTAAAATGTGTCTGTAATATAGCACTTCGACTTGAGAGCGCGTCGAGCTGCGTCTTTCGCAATTCAGCACCTATGCTGCCATGAAGGACGATTAGCACCCAACACCTCACGCTTCGTACAATCATCCCCTGAAATAGATGTTCAGCCGTTGCATTTCTTAGTAATGATTATATATATTGAACCTGATTCAGATAACTAGCAAAAGCGACGTTAACTCTCAAAAGGCAAAATATAGGTGCATGCCCCTTAGCCATGCTAAGAATAATGCTGATAATACAGTGATAGTAATCATTTTACTGATGTTTCTTGCAGGTAAGCCTCCATTACATTCAGACACAGCGGTGACAATCCAAGTTCTTGATCTGAACGACAATGCTCCCATTTTCCACGTCCCTAACCCYGGACAAGTACGTGTACCYGAAAACTCCAAAGTAGGGACAGAGTTCTACAACCTCACTGCCACCGACAAAGACTCCGACGCAAACAGTCGTTTAACATACTCAATCATCGGTGGTGAYGGGAAGGGCTTGTTTCGYATTAATCCCAAAACGGGTTTACTGTCAACCAACGAGATATTTGACTACGAGATCAAGAACTCTTACACACTAGAAGTTAAAGTTATTGATTCGGGTTCTCCACCGTTACAAAGTACTATATCCATCGTCATTAATGTAGCAAGTGTTGATGAGTACTCACCAGTCTTCCCTCAAGAAGGATACGAGTTCAAAGTACGTGGGGACGCTAAAGTTGGCGACGTTGTTGGTACGGTTTCTGCGACAGATCTGGATGGTGGTGAGGATGGCGAGGTTTTTTATTCCTTTTTTAATCCACGAACTGATGCAATAGTAATCAATAAAACATCGGGTGTTATTACAGTWAACCGAACTCTTAACGACGGATCAGAGTTACAGAAAAAGCGTGAACGAAGAAGTGTTGATGAACTCGACGAAACGTTGGTTGGACGTTCACGATCACGGCGCGAAGTAGATGATGATCTTTACTTGACAGTTCATGCWGRCAGCGGTAAGCCCAACTCAAAGAAAGCGACAACTTCAGTGTCAGTTAAAGTGGATTTTTCCTGTGATGGATGCGGCATTGTTACCAAARGTSCGCAAACCGGAGGTGGTGGTATATCTGGTACAGGTTTGGTCATCATTGTTGCTTTGGCTGTACTTGCGGGTGTTGTGTTGTTAGCCCTCATTGTTGTCGTGCTACTYATTTATGGACACAGAAARCGTAAAAAGTCKCGTAAAAACCCAAGATTGAAGTTTGATGGTTCTTTTGACGAGATTACTGTTCATCCATCTACCGGTAATTCRAACCAYGGCGCAGTATCAGCTGACAGTATTCCAGCGCGCACATATCCACAGGAGTATACGCCGCTGACCAGGACGACCGATAACTCTAACAACGCTACGAGTACTGAAGCATCGGAAACACCCGGTAGCGCATCGAGTGGACGAGGATCTTCCGATGGAGACTTCGAAGAGGGTCCGACAGCTTATGTTAATGGTGATGTTGGCAGTCTTCACTCGGAAAATTACATTAAAACCATCATTGCTGATTCAGGAATTCAAGATAATGAAGATGATCGTATATCACAGTTGACAATMAGTGACGGTAGTGGAATCTTACACACAGACGAMGGAAAAACKTWCAAGAATGATAARRTCTCATCGAAATTAGATTTTCAGAGTCAAGAAAGCATGCACGTGTTTGGAGAAGAAGGCGGTGGCGAGGCTGACGTAGGCCATGACCTTCTTTACGCTAAGCTTGCCGAAGTAGATGCTGACGACGAATCTATTTCCGAATTACCMCGGCGATTTCTCGACGATGATCGTAGTCCATATGCGGGTTCACTAAGTTCAATTATTGGAAGTAAGGAGGAATTGACGGGGAGCTACAACTGGGACTACCTCCTCGACTGGGGGCCTCARTTYCAACCACTGGCTGAGGTWTTTCTTGAAATAGGACGCATGAAGAATGATAATGATATTCATGGACGAACAGGTAGTATACCGTCRAGTAGACATCTACCTGGTATTGCTACTACTGATATGTTGTCATCAGTGTCATCATTCCCTCGGTCACCTATCAGTCCTCCTTCTACACAATTCACGTCACCAGCTTTCTCACCGAACTTTACTCCAGCTATTACACCGTTGATAACTCGCTCTCCRTCAGTCTCTCCACTGGATACAGGCACCGTGTCTCCTGCGTACTCTCGTGCATGCTCACGACCAGCCTCTGCAAACATTCAATTGGGAAGAAACAGAAGAGATTCGGATTGTGATTCCAATTCAGAACTCTCACACTCGCCTTCGATATCGGACAATGAATCSAACTTAGAAATYGAAATATAGATAGTCTCTTAATGTACAGATATAGAATATACGCAAACATCGGCTGTTCAAGCGATAAAAACTGATGATGACCATTTAATTTTTGATAATTACATGTAATACTGAATGAACGTAACGATTTTTATCGTTTAATTGATATCGATTAATCCTGTCGATTTATATCGATTGGTTGATATCAATTTTTATCGCTGGAACATTCACGGTTCCGTTAACCGTGTTTTGATACGTTTTAGTCGAAGACGCTTCTTACAGTAGGATGAAAACGTAGGAAAATCAGAGTAAGTTTTCATAACGAGGAACAAATGAACCCTTGAGAGAGTTGTGGACTACAATATGCGCAAATACCTTATTGCTTTGAGAGATTCAAACTGAAAAAAGACATATCCATTCTATACAATGGAAGTGTGGTGACAATGACGTTGATTTTACAGTGCCTCCACAAACTTACTCTGATGCTATCTACATTTTTAACCGTAAAGTCTAATCTCTGTTATTTTGTATAACATCAACTGTACTATTGCGTGAAAATTTTACACATAGTTTATATATTTATAGAACGGTAGATTGATTRACAAAAGCCCAATATAAAGCTTTACCATCTATTGATAGAGTGCTTTCAATAAAAGCGTGAACCAGTAATTACTTAATTTTACAAGTGTTAATTAGCATAAAATGTAGTAGAGTGCGCGCACTAAATGCGTGAAATATAAATACTACAAAATAGGTGATAAATTATACAAAWTYYHTTGTTTHYYATTGTATAATCAACACTATTTAGTAGTAATTAGTACTATTTGTTTCACGCTTTAAGTGCGAGCACTCTACGAAAATTATTAGTATTACTAGTTTATCACGCTTGTACTAAAAGCACTCTATTCAGTTACTAGCCTTAATTCATTGATCATTGGTAAAGGWTTTTTAAATAGCTTTTACAATATGTTGTGTTCGGTTTTTGTAAATATACTTTAGTTATAGAGTCGAACACATTTTATTTAGCTCAGTTCCACGTTGTATTTTTGTATTTCGTTTTTATCTTGAGGGAGCTACAAAACACAATGCATGGGGTTGGTGCCAAAGTTGATTTTAACATAATTTCTAAATCTATGCTTTTAAAGATTGATTTCAATTTAATATAATCTTCAATCTTTTTCATTGTATTATAAGAGTTTATGAAGTGAATATATTTTGCTTTTATATCATTGTTGCTTCCTGTTAATTGGGTAATGGGATCATGGAGACGGGTCCTGGAATATCWACGTCATGGGATTTTATGTTGAATTTTTATGAATATCATAGAGTCATGGGTTAAAACAGTCATACTCATAGATCGTGTTTTTAAAAACTCTTTTGATGAAGAATCGATGAACTTTTGAATGCTATGATTGCTTGTGTTTCACGAATACATTTAAAACAGTTGCCTTGTATTTGATGAGATTAAAGTGTCCATCAAGCATGCAAAACATGGCGCTCACTTGAAAGTATTAGTGATTTGAAAATCATAAAAAACCCTAGAAAAAAAAGTTCAATAGAATATGAAACCTGCCGTGCAGGTCCCTTGAGGATGGGATGCGTCCAGTAAAAAAATAGGAGAATTATAAATGTACAAGGTTTCAAGAGGAGGTTTAAATCTCCTGCATGCCCCAGCTGAATTTCGACTATAATACATGAATTGAAACGTCGATAAAAAAACTTTCATCCGAAGTGAATTCCACCAGGCGTTACTTGCGTAAAAGGCCTGGCTCCAAAGGAAGKAATTTTAGCGCCATCTTTGATTTCTAAATTTCTAAATCAACGTTGAAGAAAAACCGTCCTTTGTGCTGAAATAATTAACGGTTGTATGGACTCATTTACCCGATCATTACAAGTACGATTTATCTAATGAAGGTAAGAGATTTTAGTGGTTGTCTTATAATGCATCAATACTTTATAATAGTAAGTTTTTGAGCGTGATTTTATAAGCAGGAAACTTTCGATGTTTTGGTTTTAGCAAAAGTTATTTTTAGCAGAAACTCTTCAGGTTATCCCTGAAGTTTTCCTTAGTATATTTGTGGGTTTGATTTGGCATTTTCTTCTTATTTCCTTTATCTAAATGCTTGCAAAGATAAAAAACAATAATTAAAAACTGAAAATACAGGAGAAAACCCTCTGCAGACGAATCGATTGTCAAAGTTGAACAGCAATTTCATGGTATAAAGACTATTAATCTGCATCCTTGAATGCTATAATACTCCGGTAATACTTAGTTAACTGTTAACCTTATTTTGTGAGTTCTTGCTTTGGTCTTCCTCTGACAACACCAAAATCTCCTTTTATCAGTTGACATATAATTACAACTCTCTAAAAAACAATGAAGTCAAACAGAAGCACAGATGCAACATCCTCGCCATGGCAGCAATCATTCTCCACTGAGTCAAGTACAGATGTAGTGTCTAGCRTTGAACGACGACAGTACAACAAGGCACTTAAAGCCATGTATGAGATTGTGCGTCTTGGAGCTAAACGACTAGATACGTCAGTGACATCCAAAAGAGATAGCCCAATAGAAACTACAGAGTCTTCAGAAGACACATTAAATGGTATGTAATGGTAGTTGTGACTGTATTGTTTTTTTGTTTTATGCATCTTAAATGTTAATAGAAAGGGTGTAAGTGAACAGGCTGTTTCATTTAATTTGGAAGTATGTGGCTTTTCTAAATATGTGAATCTTATATAAATCATAAGGAGCCACAAGTATTGCAATCACGATTTGGCAAAAGTAGTTAGCCCGAAGGTTAAAGATGCCAGATCTAACCAGTTGCCGGCTTGTAATGAAAACCTTGAGGGAGATCCCAATACGCTTTATTTCACAGAAAAGCTTTCATATGCTGGATGCATCAACGTGTTTTCTATGAACCTTCTAAACTGAAAATTAAAGAATTTCCCATTTTGTTCATCTTAGAAGAAGAGCAAGCATCTGCAAAGAAGTATTACAAGAAGTTAAAGTCAAGAAGAAGCTTGAGTTTTGAAGATGAGGTGGGATAAACAAAGATGACCCATCTTCAAAAGCTATTGGAATATGTTTTCTTGCACAGCATCTATCTAGGATAAAATAGAGCTAGTTTTTATCACAATACAGTTAGACTTAGTCTGATATATGCATGATTTACAAAAGATATCCATAGACAAATATGGCTAATTCATATCAACTTTGGAATCTTTATCATCACGAAAAGTTGTTGCCTTATTCATATTGTTTTATTTTAGCAATCATCGTCATTAACAAGTGAAGAGGTTAAAAAAGTCTATTCAGAGCTAATGCAAATCAACAAAAGATTGCAGGTTTGCTTATTTACTTTTAATAATGAATAAAGTTAATAGCAGTCCTTATGCCTTAGTTTCTCCAACATCGATTGTTATGCTGGGATCCCTGCACCTCTCTCCTAAGAAAAAGCACAGGGATCCCAATATGAAACAAACAGTAGAGAATGATTAGCAATGACCAGTGTTTTGATGTTTAAACAGAGAGAGAACCAGGTGCTGCAAGACAGAGAGCAGAGACTTAGAGATCGTGAGAGAGCAGTAAGAGAAGCCGAACGACTAAATGAGACAACAGATATGGTTATTGATAAACTCATTGACCAGGAAGTTCATAAGAGATGCCAGGAAATAGCTCAAGTATGGAGAACGTGTATACTAACTTGTCCAATGATAGGCCCTTCATTGAATGAGTGCAGCCAGCTCACACATTGGTTTAAGTAATCTGTTATTTTTCATGCTATGTAGAGCTAYGAGGACCAAATTTTTGTTTTGGAAGAAGAGGTAAAGAAACAGAAGGTAGAAGTGAGAAGATTGAAAGATTCATTTAATACTATCAAAACAGCCAACGATGCTCTTAAAAAGCAGGTAAATTACCTATAATATTTTAGTCTCTCTTAGACAAGGCTTTTCTTCCAGCACTTTGTAC